CACAGTGATCCTTATTTATTGCAAACTGACTGAACATCTTCCAGAGAAGGTTTTTAGCATACATCTCTTTTTTCTAGATAGATTTTTAAACACTCCATCACTTATTTAGGGAAGGGATCTTTGAGTGTGTATTTATGTCTGTCTCAATCTATTCCCCTTACTACATTTTATTTCCTGCTTATATGGGAGATTTATTAATGCAGGATAAGAACTGTTATGGGCTTTGTTTCCTTGCAGGGGCTGATTTCTCTCCTGGTCCACCCTGCCCTTCTGGTGCTCATGAAATAACCAGATCACAGACTTTCCAGTTTAATCACTATTGCTTTTTTCTTAAATAAAGATCTTGTTACAATAAACAACCAGCAGTCATAGTAATAAAGTCTCCATTATTAATATTTAAGAACAAAGTTTTCCTGTTATATATTAAAAAGATCGACAATCTTAAGTACTCAAGCTTTATTTTAGTTGTGTTTGTTAAAGAAACCAGAAGTGCTTTATATAACTTTTATAAATATTTAAGATTTAAACTTGTGTATGAACTCCATCCAATTTTCTCTGATCATAGCATAGAGTTTCACCTTTTTGATACAGGAGATGAAAATCAACATCTAATTGTGCTCCGTCTAAAAACTGTGTAACGACAACAAAAAAATGCACCCCACTAGAATTCCTGTTTGAATTACTGAAGGGAGCATTTTAAAGTAAAGGAATTGACACTGAAAAGAAAATTGAAGAGGTAAATATGTTTATATGAATTTAAACAACTTGACTGCTTCAGTTTTTAAAATGGTGTAATCCAAACACATTTTAGCCATTTCAAATCTTAAGGCAGATACGATCTGATCATATTGAACTGCTTCTATACTGCACTTTTCCTCACATTTAAAAAAATGTTTACTACAGTACAATTTCACAGTGATTGGGAAAGTGGAAAATATAGTCTACAGAAGCAACTCAAAGAACTTTATTCACTGTCATGGAGGCTTGCTTTGGGCAGGATTAGACAACTTCAAAGCATGTCAGCAGGCAGCTGAACCTTGCACTCTTGTGACAGATATCACTGATGGATACGCTCAATGGTGAAAGGGAGATTTTTGTCATGCAGGTCAGTCAGAGGATGTTTGAAAGGCTTTGATGGTTTTTCTGAGTGTTTCTGAGTGTGTAAGAGTCAGAAAGGATTGCAGATGGTTCAGAGGAAAGTATCCCACTCTAGACAGGAGGGGAAGGAAGCCTGGTTTTCTAGCCATGTGGATGGAGAGAAGAGATTGGCATGACTGCAGAACAATGCTGAGATAGCCAAGCTATATTTTGGTGAACCAGGGACATGTAAGGAGATGAAAACATCTTCTTCCCAGCAACAGGACAGGGAAAGGTTCCTCAGGAGTTTAGTTATTTCTTGCCAGTGTGTGCCCCAGACCTGTCTTGAGATGTCCAGTAAGGGGTCAGAAATTAACTCACAGGCTCATCAGCCAGTGCAGGAAGCCACCGAGGTCTCCCTGTAAACCCCTGTAAACCCAAAAGTGAGCGATGCCAGGAGATCAGTTACCAATCCCAGCAGTAGTCGAGGTATTTGTTAAAACTGGATAACAGAAGGGGTCTGGGTGTGGAGTAGTGAGGAGCATCTGAAGCCTGGCTAGTCCTCCTTGGACACTTCTGTGTGTGCAGGTAAATGTCCTGATGTTGAGTATGCCGTAAGGGATAGCCATAAACATGGAACTAATCGGTTATAATATAGAAGAGGTAATAATATTATCACTACATCAATTTTTATACCATGACACAAGGCAGTACGTAATGGACACTTCCAAACTACTAAGATAATTTTTGAAGAAAGGATTTTATCTTCATATATGATATCTTAAAAATTCAAAAGATATTCCTGATTGTTAAGCATAAGAAAACATTTATTGTGAACCCAGCTTGCAAATACTCGTTAATGGAGATATCAGACTGAACAAATTTCTTGATTATGTTGCTATTGCTCTGTGAAATGTCAGATGTAAGCAGAACAATTTCCTTCCCAAAAAACCTTTACTGTGTAAAATGTTATCTGGAAAGTCTGAGAAGGAGGAAAAAACCAAAACCCAATTTTCTGCTATTCAGTTTAAAGACAGCCAGTTTTTTTATTTGTTCCCTTTTAGCTAAATCATTGTTTTTCTTCACTGTTTCACAAACAAAGCAAAATGCATACCAAAACCACACACTTTATATGATTCAGAAGCTGGAAAGAATAAGATGAAATCAGCAGGTTGCTTTCGTTTCATTCTGGCAAGGTAACAATTGCTATTAATTCTTATAAATGCCATTTTAATACAGAACTCTGTCTGTACACAATTTATGTTACAGTCCCACCACGTTACGTAAAATGCTAGTGTGAACCGAGTTTAGAGAAAACAGTCTTTATTGTGCCTCATTTTCTTTCAAATATGAATAAAGAAGAAAATTATAATAGACATGAAGCTGCATCTACATACAATTCTATATCTCATTCCAAAAATTTATTTTGAAATTGTTCTGTCTTCTCTGTGGGATGGTCTTGCTAATGGTGTTTGATAAGCTAAATTAAATGTATACATAAGCACATAATGTATATACAAACACATAACAGGATTGGAATAGCAGAATTATTTGAATTGTCTGCAGAAATAAATAATTACTTCACAAGCAAAATTAAATGTTCATTCTTCAGTAAAAAGCAAGTCCAGTTATGTTTGAAATAAACTATATTGAGAGCATAATAAAGCCTGAATGGTTAGGTGATAATTGTTCAAAAAGAAAAATTCATATGGTTTTGGAAAACATAGTTTATTAATAGAGAAGCTGTTGTAGCTCATGGCCCCTATACCTTTTTTGAGAGAAGAGAGAGAAATTTAACTGTGTTTGAGTAAATGTCTTGAATAGTGGTATTATGTGACTCAGAACAGAAAATTACTGGGGAAAATGTACATAGCCTACCTTTCTCCTCATCTGCTTCCGTATCCAAATGAACACAGATTGTGTATCTATGGAAAGACATAAATACATTTTTTTAAAAATATGTCATCCATCCTCTTTCATTCTACAGGTAAATATGCACATCCTCAACACAGAGCAAAAATATGGAGCACAAAATTAGGAATATATCATCTATGTTCAACAGAGTCAATGTTTAGAATGATCAATAACATCAAGGCCCTGGCACAAGCGAGGAGCACTACAAGATTGTGTTTAAGAGTAGCTTCTATTGGAGGCCTATCATCCAAGTACCCTTCTGAACTAGGAAGAAATGATGACATTTTCAGGTCAAATTTTCAAAGGTATTTAACCATGATGCACACATGTCCATGCACATGAAGCTGGCTTTCTAGACAGTGCTTTAGAAGTCTCCTGGGGAAAACAGTCTGTAGCTGAGGACAGGGAGCTGACTGTATGTGTGCTTTCCTGCCTCCCACTCACAAAAGCAGCTGCTGTGCATGCAATCCAGCACCCAGTTTCTGCAGAGCACCCTGGTGGTCCCTCCTGCATGACCTGTACAGATTTGGCCTTGCTCCTGCAGAGGATCCCTGAATGCATGGGTGCAACAACATCACTGAGAGACCCTCACAAAAAGCAGCTACCAAAGAGACAGCCTGTAACTGGGATAGCAGAATCTGCAGGCTGGGATTGCTGCTGTGTGGGGTGGTCTAGGGACTGTGCCCATTTGAGGATTTGGGTCTGAATTGCTTTCAAGAGCAAGTCTGGGTTGGTATGCCTGTATTGCACTTAGGAAAACACCTCCCCAGGAGAGGAAAAGTGAGAAGCCTGAACCCAGGCTGAGCCTTAGGGACTTGCAAGGCACAGGGGCTGGCTGCTCACTGCTAATTAAACCACACTGTTGCCAAATCTCTTAAAGGGCCTGCTATGCCGGAGCCTATCAGACAAGGCTGCTGTGAAACATACTCTGTTGCATATTAGAATTGTTTCAGAGCAGCAGATAGATGTTGCCTCGTTCTCTTAAAACTATTGAGTAAAAAACTCCACAACTACTCGGTCGTTTATTTTTTATGGTATTCTCCTTGATGTAGAAGAAGCTGTTGTCGTCTCAGGACCTTAAAACAAAAATAGCTATTATATATGTCAGAAAAATCAACAGTGTAGTGCCTTACATTGCAGTGGAGAGTTTTCTCCTGGAAATGGGCTACTCTGTAAACCATGGTTTTGTAGCTACCAGCAGTAACAAATAACAAGTGCTTTCTAAGCAGTACTGGAATGGGAGCATTCCTGTATTTCTAATTGAAAGCTTGGTTTTTTTTCCAGAGAATAAGGAATTCTGAGAAAAGAAGACAGGTCTTTCGAATGACACATGATTTCCACCTTCATCTTAGCACCTTGTTTTGAAAAAAAGAATGATGAAACAGGGTTGTTTTTCTTGCTGAGACAGTCACTCCCCCTGATCAAGAGAAGCATGCTGCAAATTGGAAACAAAATGGAACTGAAACCCTGGGCATATTAAAAGCCAGTGTAAGAGAGGTATGAAAGTAAGTGTGGATGTTAAAATGCCAAAAGGGAAAACTATCATTTAAAAGCAGTACTGTAAGGGACACTATTTCTCTCCCATGCACATCCTGCCCATCCAAAACTCCCTATCTCTGCATGCAACAGCACAGGGAAATGTACTAAAACACGCATAATGTTCCCCCAGGATCTTGCAGTCGAGAAAGTCCCTACTTTTTCTCTTCTTCCAGCCCCCACAGCCGAGGTCTGGCTCCAGCCCACACCAAGGGACTGCAGGGGGAGGTGGGCAGGTACAGCCATGCCTGGCTGAGGGAGGGGAGGCCTGTGGAGCCAAGGCAGCTCCTGTATTGCCAGCTCCCCAGAACAGGGCATTCCCCACCCGCTGCCTTGGGCTCTCCTGCCCCGCCTGCCCAGGTTGCTACATGCTGTGCAGGCCGTGG